TGATCTAAGCATAAATGATAGTGATCAGAGATTACCCTAGGCAATGCCTTTAGAGCCAAACTACCCCAAATTTCCTTCCAAAGGAATCTATCCAATTTGGAACAAACATGAGTTTCTTAAAAATTTGACTAAGTTGAGGATGAATTTAACAAGGGAGGTTCTTTCATCTCTAGAGAATCTACCATGGTATTAAACTTCCTCATGCTTGTAGTTATGGTCTAACTTGGATAACTTATCTCATTTGTAAATCTTATAACATTAGAATCTCCACTAGAGCACACAATCCTTCCCACAAACCTTTGGTTGCAGCTAATTCTTCCCATAACAGATCCCTATCTATATATGAGTTAGGGCCATAAACATTTGTTAGGACCTAGGGGTACAAATGGATCAGATTCTAATCCAATTCGATCTGTGATACAATCCTGTTTTGTCGRATTCAGATGTCCCCCTATTCAGATCGAATTGGAATAGAAAATATGATCCGATAATAAATCGGATTCAAATCACCCCTATCTAATCCAAGAAGATCTAATATATATGTTATTTATTTATAAATATATTGTTTATATTGTATTTTTGTAAATTTGTTATATTAATTTATAGAAAACATGTATATATATGATGAAAATAGTTGAAAAGAGACTTGCATTTCTTGTATTTCTTTTTTAATTATTATATTTTATTTTTTTTTAATAATTTATTAATTTTTTAAGAAATTTAAATCGGATCGAATCAGATTTGAAAAATCCAACATCTTCATCGGATTCAAATTCGAATCCATACTTATGAGATTCGATCGGATCTTCAAATCGGATAGGATCAACTCTTAACAGAATAACAATGTCAGATCGGATTCGGACATACCCTAATTCGAATATGATTCAATCCGCTTGCATCCCTATAATAGGACCTATTCCTTTCCGTAACTCATTCTTTCTATTTTATTAAAAGTGAAATTATCCAATCAATTCCCTCATGGCACTCCATTTCCTCATTCCTCTAACCAGTAATTATTTCCCCTAAAGCCCCCAAGGAGGGGGAAAAAGACCAACTCAAATCTCTAGTGCTCTAGATATTCCTTATCCATTTTCTATCTAATTTTAAGAACTTTGTTTTCTTGCAACATTAAAATATCCGATTTCTCTTTTCTTGCCACATTTATGATCAGTCTCCTCTTCTTTGTTCTTCTTAGACCCCTTACATTCCAATATGTGATCTTCATTATCACTTGTTAATAGACCCCTATCATTTTTCTCCCGACTACTACTAACCTCTTGTTTTCTCCTTCTTTCGGCTCTCCCTCTATCATAGGCGACTCCACTAGCTAATCTCTCTATTTCGATCATCTTCCTTTTCTTTTCTTTTTTCTCTTCTCCCCTTCCTTCCTGAAGTAAGTTGTTAGTTAGTGGAATTTTTATTAGAATCTCTGTTTTTTCTCCTTCTTTTATTCTGATTATTATTTACTCCTTTTATCTCTTTATCTAAATAGCCACTTTCTATTCCTATCACCTTCAAGGGGGTTCCCAGCATTTTCACCTTTTCTACATTCTTCTCCTCCACATCAACTAACTTTTTAAATGTATTAAGATTAGATCCATAGTTTCCTTCTCTTCCACTCCAACCCATTGCCTCCTTCCTTTTCTAGCACTTTGGTCTTTGTTCACAACAGGTATGGTTCTAACAATTGAATCTACAAGATCAGAAGAGCAAAGAATAGCATTAGTACCAATGCCAAGGATAGAAGAAGAAACACAAACAAGAAGAAAAGCATAAGGAAATTTTCCATCCCTAGTGTGGGAGGTCTTTCATGCAAGAGTTTCTAGTGTTACAAGATAGGTCCACACATAGTGAGATAAGAAATTGACTTGTTAGTGAAAGCTAAAAGTAGGTTTGCATGAGCTAAGAAATTGGCTTTTTAGTGTAGCTATTTTTGGTAGCTTATAGAAAGTGTCTCAATCAATGCAGGTCAACCAACCTTAACACCCTCCCAAATGGAGCCAGAGGCTTTTTCCAAATTAGATGAACCAACACTTTAGTTCAGCCCTCCCAAATAGGTCATAAATATGCTATTAGTACTTATTTGGGAGGGCTTCAGGTAAGGTTGGGATTGAATCAAGTTGATTTAGACTTTAACATGTCTTGGCTTGGTTCAACTAAAATACTACTATATTCAAGTTTGGATTCGGCTCGAAAGTTTGAAAAAACTAATATATTTTTATATTTGGGAAATTGTCAAAAACTCGCCATGAGTTTTCAATATTTCTCTTAAACTCACCACAACTTTTCAAAATGTCTAAAACTCACCATGTCACTAACTTGACGTTAAAGAGACCAACGGCTGTTAATGTATTAATTACCATTTTAACCTTCATAGAAAAATATAAAATATATACATATATTTTAATATTTAGACATGAAAAAAATGAAAAAAGTTCAAAAAGTACTTTCAAATATAAAATACATAAAAACATAAAAATTGCAAAAAAATAAAAAATTATAGAAATTGCACACAAAATAAAAATTATTTTCAAATTATAGAAACTATAGAAATTGAAAAACAAAATCAGAAAATAAAAATTGTAGAAAAAACACCAAAAATTATAGAAAAACACAGAAATTGCAAATAAATAACAAAAAATATAGGAAATTTTATAGATTGTAGAAAATAGAAAAATGTAAAAGAACAAAAATTATAAAAAAAATATTAAAAATTATAACAAAACACTAAAAATGTAAAAAAAAACAAAATTGAAAAATGAAAAAGACCATTTTCCTCTAACTCTCCATTCAAGGGTGATTTGGTCATAAAAATTGTTATTTATGCTAACTGGGACACTTCTGTTAAGAAACATTAATGGTGCACTAACCGAAGGTGAGTTTTGGAAAATAAAAACTTATTGACATGGTGAGTTTTAGACGTTTTGGAAAGTTGTGGTGAGAGAGAAATGCTGAAAACTCATGGTGAGTTTTAGACAATTTCCCTTTATATTTTAATATACATATATACATACATACATACATACATACATACATACATACATACATACATACATACATACATACATACATGCTGCATGCATGCATACATACATACATACACACATACATACATGCTGCATGCATGCATGCATGCATACACACACACATACATACATACATACATAGATGCTGCATGCATGCATCCATACATGCATATATTGAGCCAGGTTTGTGAGCTTTTGAGCCAAACATTTTATTGGTCAAATTTGAGTTTGAATAACTAATTGAATTTACCTTGAGATTCAAACTTGGTTAGCATTGAACTCAAATCAAACCTAATCCAACTTAAGCACAAACTATTTGATTAAAACTTTGACCCGATTGCACCCCAACTTTAAGGTAGTGACTTCTAACTTTATGAAGTGGGCCCCACCTAAACAACCCTTAAGTTATGTTTGGAGAAAGCCCTAAAAAAATAAAATGGCTGCATTTTCCTTTAGTAGCTTCTCTAAAGCAATTCACTAAAAGCAGCTCAACCAAAGCCTCATCCCTTCCAAAATGGTCAATTATTGTTGGGAAATGGGACTGTTTTTATGGGAGCAAGGATTAGCTGAACACAATGGTTGTTTAATGGGCTATGGAGCAACGATAATGTTCCACGTCAGTAATAAAATATATGGAACCCGCACCTTTCGCAATGGGCCCATGAATTTATTATGGGCGAGGAACATTATATTTGTTCCATAGCCTATTGAATAGCCATCACGTTCAGTTAATCCCAATTATTTTTATGGTATGATTGAAGGATGGTTATCCCTAGGGGTGAGCAAAAAAAAAAAATGAATTGACCAAAAACACCGATTGAAACCAAACTAAAAAATCGGTTAACTAAATCGACCGATTTGGTGTTTTAGAAAACCCAAGGTACCAGTTCAGTTTCGGTTAACCAATATAGAAAACCAGTGGTTAACCGAACCGACCGGTATACATATATTTCTATATATTTTATATATATTTATGTATATAATACATATATTATATTTTATATATTATAAATTAATAAATATGCATTATATAAATATATATTTATAATTATGATGTATTATTTATTATTTAAAATATAATATTTTATATATATTTATAATTTTTTATTATATATTTATATATATTGTAAAAATTAAAAAACTGAAAAACCGACAAACCGAACTAATGGTTAACTAAATCAATCAACTGATTGATTACGATTCGRTTTCGATTACCAGTTTTCCAAAAACCAATAATACCAGTTCAATTAAAAAAGAAAAAAGACCCACGGTTAACCGAACCGTGAGCACCCCTAGACTTATCCCGAGTCCAATGGGTCAACGCTATTATGCTAAGAGATTAGCTGGATTATCTGGTCCCGGAATACAAACGAAGGATATGAATATTTCTGATCCACAGATCCCTTTGTTCGTCTATAATTCCTTATTGGGCCTGTATGGGACCAATTCCGTCTGGCCTGTACTGGAGCGGGCCTGGTATAATCCTAACAGGAGTAGGGTCCGATCGGATTAAACTGGGCCCATGGACCCATGGTGGATCGGTGTCAGTGATGACCCACAAAAACCTGATGAAATTTTGGAAAGCATCAGACCCCTCTCTCTCTCTCTCAATCTGCGTATTTTTTTAAAGGTTTTCTTTTATCTGATTTTCTAACATTCCAAGCTCACAGTCCAAGCTCAGGCCAGAGATCGTACTCAAAAGTTGAATCCGGCCTGGCCCAGGTTGGCCCCAACCACCCAAGCCCACAAACCTGCTGGCATTCGTAAACTCTCATGATGTTCATGGAAGAAATCACCATTAGAACGGGTCCACCTAAATATAGATTGGTGGGCCTTGATCTTCTGAGCATAGCACACGTAGCTAATTTAGGCCCAGATCCATCTACTATTCTGCTCCTGTGGGTTGAGGCTGTGGTCCAGCAATAGAAGTTCTTTTCTCAGTCCCACTCTCTCTCTCTCTCTCTCATCTTTCTCCTCAGTCCTCCCACTGACAACTCATCACTATACAAATCACCGTTGAAATCTTTTGTGTCAATTTACTTTCAAAATTTTACACCAATTACACATTTCACGGTCTTCTCTCTTTCTCTCTAACTCCAGACATTTATATATTGCAGACCTCTCTCTAATTCTCTCTCTCTCTCTCTCTCGCTCTCGCTCTCTCTATATATATATCCCAAGTTCTTCTAGCAGAGAAAAAGAGAAAGTTGAAAGGTTGATGTTTTTTTTTGAAGAGCTTCGAAGGGTCTCTGCGAAATGCTAGGGTTTCTGGATCGAAGATTCTGAGAAGCACATAGAGCAGAAGTGGAAATGAGGGTCTTGGGGGAAGCTTCTTGGTGTTTCTGCAATGGAGGGGGAAAGTCTGAAAGGATGAAAGGGAGCATTTTCTGCAGTAAAGGTCCGGCCATTGCTAGAGTCTGTAATGGGACTGGGTTTCTGATACAGAGAAATCTATTGTTGACGACTCACGTTAACCTTCCGTCGGTGTCGGCAGCCGAGGGGGTTGAGATCCGGTTGCAGGACCGTGTTGCTGCGATGCTCGTTCCTCAAAGGTGGGTGGCTCGGCTTGATCCCTAATTTGGCTTTTCCGGTTGTTCATCTTTTACAATTTATGGTCTTTTATTGTGTATTGTTTGGTTTTCTCACTCGAACTTCGAAAGAGTGGTTCCAATTGATGCTTATGTCGGTTGTTTTGAAAATCCATAAATTGCCTTTTAACTGATTGAATTGGTTGTGAATTAGGAGTGTCGATATATGGGAGGAACTTTTATTTTCTGTTGTAATTGTGGAGTTGCTACATCAACAATTAGCCATTTCGTGTCGAGAATGCAGAGGGGATGTGATCTAATATTCTAATGGCTATTATGATATTTCAGAAAAAAAAAAAAACAAGTGGTCATTTTTATTCCCCTTTCCGTATAATTATAGGATCCAGTTACTTAATTGCAACTTAAATAGAAAATGGCAACTTTCCTTTTTGATGGTTGGTGTGGTTTTCATTTGTTTTCCGTAGTTGAGCCTTGGTACCGTCAGCTAGAGGTTCCTTTAGAATAGGTCTTCTGTGGCCAACGTTTGAGGTAACTACAAAATTAAGTACACCATTAAGGCTATTAGATTTCAAGATTTCCTACCTTAATTCGCTTTGTAAACAGTCGCTATGTTGGTTGAGGTAATGATGATTCATGAATTTTTTGATGAAGCTTGGGGTAGTGTTTTATTGCAGGCTTATCTGTAGTTCTGAATCGTTAGAAATGGAGGCTGAGCTGAGGGCTTGATTGAAATTCATGGACTGAGTGATTTGTAGGGTTGCAACTTGGGTCAGGTTGGGTTGTAAATTTGTCAAATTTTTAATGGGTCTGAACTCTAACCAGAACCTGATGTAGCTGAAATTCTTCARGTCAGGCAACCTGACTTGCAGCCCTAGTGATTTGGTCATTTTTGGGATATGCTCAGTGTGTTTGTCCTTTGTTCTTTGCTATGATCACCAAATCAAAGCTTGTAGATTTTCCTTTATTTATTTATTTTATTTTATTTTTTTCTGTCAATACCCAATAGTTGTCTTTGAGAAAGGAAAATGTTGGCAAGATAGCAGCTCCATTGTGCATTCAATGTGCTGGAGGAAAAAGAGAATAGTGCTCTTTAAAGAGGACATTTCAGGATCAGTACCATTCTCCTTGCTGGAGGGATTGCAGTGTCCATGCAGCAGACAGGACATATAAAGGAGTTTCACCTAGGGGATCTTTTTAAATAAAAAAGTATGATCGTTTTAAGACATGACATCAGAAAAATGCAAAGAAAATGTTAAGTTACAGGTTTCTTCCCATATACAAACATTTTACCAAATAATATTCTTTATGCTGAATTTGGGACATTCAGTGGATTACACGACCAGGTCAATTTTAGATTAAATTGTAAAACACCCTTTCTGAATTAGGATTAAATCTTCTTGAATTTAGTCAAATCTACTTACTGAAATCAGTGTGTTTATATGCATTTACAATATGCTGGCTAAGGTGGCTTCAATTTTTTTTTTCTTTAATGAATGACATTACTTAACTTTATTAAGAAATAGGGATATACAAAGATTCCAAGCATTTTATGGATTATATGAGTGATTTTTTTAATAAATGATTCTATGAGTGATGTCCAAAGATGAATTAATATTATTCTGGAAAAGCATTGCAGAAGGCATGTCATCCTCGTATTTATACCATTTCTTGTATTCTAATCCTACCTGCTACTTAAAAGGATTATCTTTTCATCTTCATAACTGTACTTACCTTGAGGAAAGGGTAGTTGTGACAAGTTCTGCTATATATTAATTTGTTCTCTCAGGGGATATGGTCTTTGTGGTTATGCAATATCTTGTGTCAATTGTATTATATCTTTTTGACTTTCTAAGTGGCTAAATAAATAAGAAATAGATATTTGACAGAACAATGACTTTATTCTTTTTCATGATTAAGACAGAATGGATCATGAGCATCCAAAGTGGGAGAGCTTCAAAAACAAGAATATCATATGCTGTGGGTGCACAGAAAGATAAATAGCTCTTGGGAGTTAGCATGTATGACTTCAACAGGGGTTCAATATTTGTTTTTCTCTAGTCCATTCAGTTGGTGTTTGGTATTTTGTTTGAGCAAGTCAACTTAGATACAATCATGTTCTTATTAGGTTTGAGTTTGGAAGTTGTGAGAAGTCAGGTATCTGGAGGCCTAGCTAATCAGGCTGAGATGGTCATCTGGGCAACTGGATGAGTGCCCAAACATTTAAACAAGCCATGGCCTTTGCCTAATTTTCTGCTATATAATATTATAAATATCTGTATGTTATAGTATTAGAAGTGGTGAGGTGTTTGGCATTGACATGTAACTGGTCAGACTTTTATTATTTGTTCCAAAAGTACTCAACTTAACTCAGCCTTAATCTCAATTATTTGTGATTAGGTAACCAGATATAAGTAAAACAAAGTCAGGGAGTAACCAGGCTAAATATACATAAATTCGTTTTGAATTGGAAGTTGGACTTCAAAGCGTTAACATGACTACCCCTTCCAAAGAATACCAGTAAAAGACTATAGATGATAAAGGTAATGCACAGAAAGTAAATAGGGTAACCTACAAAAAATAAATAAATAAACAGTTAGTATGGAGTAAAAAGGATGTTACTTTTTATCCAGATTTTTTGATAAGTATATCGACCCTTCTTCTTGAGGTTCTCCACAATCTTACGACATTGGATGAAGATGAATTTATATCATCAACAAAGTAATACGGTGCAAGGGTTCTTGGATCCAGTCATGATGCTATTGTAAATTGTAAGGTTATTTCTATCTCTTGGAAATTTGTCAAAAACAGTAAACTATAGTTAATAAAAGCTTAGGCATATTGGAACTGATTTGGAAAATCCACATCCATTATATAAGCAATTAATATAACAAAAGTTTTACCACACATACATTTTAAGTTCAATAAGATCTAATTAAGCTTGACTTTAAAGCCAATTAACCCATGCATAATAGCTCTTTAACCTAAATTATGATTGAAAATAAACTAAAAAAAAGTCTATAGTAGGTTTTGAATAATCTAACTAGTTTCTATTCTATTAAGAGTTTAAAAATAAAAGCTACTTGAAAAGAATTAAAAATATAAAGAAGATGGATGGTACATATCCACTTAACTGGAAAACAGTCCAACTTAAATTATTTATTGATATAGTTAAAAATTAAATAAACATTAGAATTAGAAATCGAATAATGAATTTATAAAATGTTTAACCAAGAATACCCTCTAAACCTCATAAAATGTGGATTTTCTATAGGTATAAATTGGCAAAGCTAAGAGAAAGGAAAGGTAGAGATTTAAACCATGTTAGGTGCATTAAAGATGAGGATCAAAGAATCTTGGTAAAAGATGAGGAAATCAAACAAAGATGGAAAAACTATTCTGAAAAATTATTAAATGAAAAGCAGGGAGAGGGTGCTAGAGGAGAATTTAGGAATACTAGTAATGTTAAAGATAATATGTACCATCATAAAGTTAGACCTATTGAAGTATGGAAAGGCGTTGGGACCCAATGGGATATCAATATAAGTATGGAAAGGTATGGGAGAGGTAGGCTTGTTATGGCTAACCAAGCTATTTAACAAGGTAGTGAAAGAAAAGAAGATGCTTGATGAATGGAGCAACAACATGTTGCCTATATTTAAGAACAAAGGTGATATGCAAAGTTGTAATAACTATCAAGGGATTAAACTTATGAACCACACTATGAAACTTTGGGAGAGAATGGTTGAACAAAGATTATAAATTGAAACAAGTGTGTCAGAGAACCAATTTGGCTTTATGACAGGGAGATCAACCATAGAAGCTATATTTCTTTTGAGATGATTGATAGAAAAGTTTAGAGAGAAGATCTTCATATTGGTGTTCATTGATCTAGAAAAGGCATACGATAGAGTTCCTAGAGAGATAATATGGTCAGCCTTGGAAAAAAAGGGGTTCAAAATGGGTATATAGACCTAATTAAGGATACATAAGAGGGGGCAATAACCAATGTTAGAACACTAGTGGGAGAGACTTTAGATTTTACAGTTACCATGGGTCTTTACCAAGGTTCAGCACTTGGTCCTTATCTATTTGCATTGATCCTAGATAAATTGACTAAGCATATTCAGTAGGAAGTTCCATGGTGCATGTTGTTTGTGGATGACATTGTTTTAATTGATGAAACTAATGGAGGATTAAATGCAAAATTAAACTTATAGGCAAATGCCTTAGAAGCAAGAGGTTTTAAAATAAGTAGGACTAAAACAGAGTATATGACATGTAAATTTAGTAATATTGGGAGTGTAAATCACGATACACTTAGGGTTAAAGTGGCCATTTCCGGTAACTTGGTTCAATAATTCATAACAAGGGAGAGATTGAGGAGGATGCCATCCAAAGAATTAGAACAAGATGGGCAAAATGGAGGGGTGCATCTGAACCTTTATGTGATAGGTGAATGCTACTTAAATTAAAAGGAAAATTCTATAAAATAGTTGAGTCCAGATATGTTGTATGAAGTAGAGTGTTGGGCAGCCAAGAAACATGTCCAGAAAATGCATGTGGTAGAAATGCGAATGCTAATATTGATGAATAGAAAAACTAGAAAGGATAGGATTAGGAATGAAGTTATCCATAAGAACCTAGGAGTAGCTCCAATAGGTAATAAAATGAGAGAGAGTATACTAAAATGGTTTGGGCAGGTGCATAGAAGACCACCAACTGCGCCAGTTAGAATAAGTGATTTTTTACACACTAAAGGGGCTAGAAGAGCTCGGGGTAGACCAAAAAGGACATGGTAGAAGTAGTAYGAAATGATTTAAGCACTAATAATTTAACAGTTGGTATGCTTTAAATAGAAAGGATTGGCGAAACGGAATGCATGTGGCCAACCCTATTTGTGATGAGGCATGGGTGATGATGATGTTATACCACAGGTTTCTCATTTTTATATTACAAGTTACAATTTGATTCCTCTTTCTTTCTTTGTTGTTGATGCTTCCCAT